TGTTTTTACATATGGAGTCGTAAAGCTGTACACACACTTTGATGTGTAAAATTGCCGGAAGCCCTTCTTAAGATGTTCTCTTTGCTTTAGATTTAAAGGACAAATTGATTCATTTTTAGTTATTCTCTGAATTAAGTTGCTTTTTTCTTTCGGCAGATTTTTTTCCTCATCCCTCATTAAAAACTCACAGAGATAGAGTCAGCCCAGGCTGCAGCTTATCTGATCCAGACACTTAGACGCATTCTGTCCTGGTCTGATTGATAAAATCCAGCCCTTCATTCTGCTCACCTGATACTTACTCAACGCTGCTTCCTGGATTTCATTCCTTTGAAATGCAGGCAGTGCTGTTGTTCGCGTACCCACCCTGGCTTTGTGTCCAGGTTTGCTCTGAATGCCATCATCTGTAGAGAAGCAGCCTTGGGTTGCAAACACACACGTGTGTGTCTTTGTGTTTCTTCCACAAAAGCTGAGAATACTTTGATAAAGAAGGTCATTAAAGTGTCGTTAGCTTTGAGGTGTCGAGCCCCCACAGATAACACATGGGGAGCAGGGACGGCTGAGCTCCGAGAGAGAGGGACAGCGGGACGCTTGACAAACCACACTCAGGAGATGGCTCGCCTTGACCCGTTCATGCTCCCTTCTTTGTGTTTCCTTCTCATCGTTCTGATGTTTTTTTGTTGTTTTTTTCCCCTCCACAACAGTCATTCCCACAGTCCCCAGTGTGCAACTAGAGCATCACTGCAAGCTTCCTCCCTCCTCATCCTTGTTGACGGCAACTGTTTGCTGCCCACACAAAGCATCGATTTGATACTCATACAGCTCCTGCATTGTAGCTCTCATATGAGCATTGTTTCCCGCTGACCATGAAACTGCTGCCCTTGAAAGCAGAAAAACTGACATCTCCTAAAATCAATTTGGCATAATAAAAGAAATGTTTGCTGTAGTTTTCTAGAAAGCTACCCACTTTGAGAAATCCAAGCTTTTCCTGTAACCCAGTGCTCCAAACCTGAAACAACTATGACACCTGGAATTGTAATGGAAATGCAGTGGGCACTCAGAATGACTAAGAGCAGCAGTGATAGCCCGTAGCACAGTCAATAACTGCTTGGCAGCACGAGCTAGGGGACTTGACTCAATTTGTAAAAGTGAACCACTCTCTGGCTGCATTGCTGCTGAGGATAGTGTAGTGAAAGCTGACCATCACAAAAGTGCAGAAGGGGACAGTTTTGTTTAGCGCCACAGCTTTACAGCGAGGACTGCAAACTGATCTAAGGACACATGAATCATTTCTCACTGGAAGGTTTGGTCGATTACAGGTCATCTGTGCTTTTGTTGTTCAATACATTAAAAGCTCTGTTCTGCCACTGTTGGACTTTTAAAGCTGTCCAAGCTCATGATTCAGTTTTATATATGCAGCATATGGCAACAAATCAAAAATCTTACTGCAAATGGAGGCACTTCAGCACTGATGAAGTAGCTAAATTGCACACTTGAATCACAGAGAGACTGTTTCTGTAAAATCTCTACTGCCACCAAGTGGTTCCCATTTGGCATACAAGTGCACAAACAATACAATGCCATGTGCAGCCATCGGGATGTCAGAAACAAACAGCTATTCTCTCCATCCATCCATTTTAACCAGTTCAGGGTTGAACAGAGCCATAGAGTGAAAGGTGTTGTACACCCTGGACAGGTTGGCAGTCTGTTGCAGGGCTACATCTTTTTCTTAGTGAGATTTTATATATAAAATATTTCCTACATTTTTATACTTTTGAGTCAGTAGTTTTGCATGACTAACAGTTCAAAATCATCCTCGATGTTAAAATAATCAAAATAATCTGACTGAGAGGGACTGTAGTTAGTCTGAGTTGGACCGCAGTTGAAGACCGGTTGCCTCCTAACAGGTGAAATAAACAGTCGCTTGCAATCAAAAGTGATCATCACCCAGAGGTTGAGGGTGTTGTGGCATCTGGACACTTAAAAAACTCAAGGATGATTCTGGTGTGTCTGAGCCAAAAGTGGGCCATGCAGTAAAACGTTTGTTACAGCAGAAAACGCTGCTCTGAACTGAAGGTTTGAACAGCAGGTGGGTGGGGCTTCTGCGTGCACCTGAACCGACCATGTTGGTGACATCATACTTGCCGACTCCACACAAAGCCAAGAGTGGGAAAACCATCTGAAACAAAGAGTTTCGAGCAGTCTGGAGCCTGAGCTTTCAGCTAACAGAGATTAAATGTACATATGCTGACCTTATTATTTGAATCTGCATTTACCAACAGTGTGTGCATGACAGAAAATAAGGAAAAGCACAGCAGGTCCCCTTTAAAATAGAAAACATTCATAGATCGGCATGCTTTTCATATGCATTTGTGTTAAATCTTTGCTCCACAAGTCTTCATAAGACAGTGTACACCGTCTCACGCGTTTTGTCCTGTATCTTCTTTGCAGTGTTCATCATGGCGACCGGACTGCTGGTGTACCCTTTCGGCCTGAACTCCACACTGGTCCGGTCCTTCTGCGGAGACTCTGACATCTACTACGCTGGCGAGTGCCAGATCGGCTGGGGCTACATGCTGGCTATTGTGGGAGTCATGCTCACCGTCTTCTTGCCCTTTTTTGCTAAATATGCACCGAAGGAGCAGCTGTCCCCTACCCCGCTGCCCACGCTCTTATAGTTATGTCTTGTTTTTCTTCTCCTCTTCCTGACGATCCTCTCTAATCTGGGCTTAATGTCACACGAAGACACCTGCATCGTGTTTTTTTGTTGTTATTTTTTTGTTTTAAAGACGATGCTGCTTGGGAAGCCCCCTCTGAGCAAGAACTAAAGCTGACGGCAGAAACAAGAAAACAAACCGTCTTCCTGCATCTCTTCGTTATTAATCCAGTCAATTTAAACGGGACGTTTTCTGCTGTAACAATACTCTGTGGTTGCGATTAGTGTTTTCCAGTTCGACACATCTGTTTTCTTCCTGGCAGGTTTGGAAATGAAGCAGTCAGAAGATGCAAAGACTGATGAAACTGAGAAAATGACTGCAAACATAACAAATATGAAAAATATTAGGATTTCCTTTCCTTTCTTTTTTTTATGGTAAGAAACAAGTCAGCGTACAGTATGTAACATTCCAACGCAGACTGGAAGCATGAAAATAAGGGGCGGTATAACTCAAGCAATCGAGTAATATTTCACTAAGAGGTTTTCAGAAACATTAAACTTTGAAAACGGAGCCAACGTGATCAATCAAGTGAAAAAAATCCACACGTCAGGACCTGCGTGTCTGGGTGTTTAGACTGTAAATACGTTGTGGATTTAACCAAGCTGATGTTTGAGCTTTCAGAACAAGACTTTAATGAGAGAACGCTGGCGCTTTGAAGGATTTTTTTTTTCTCCTCAGACTTTTTCTGCCTCCCGGTTTTTATGACCAGGCTAGCGAACCAGTGGGTGACGAGGAGACGTCACAGCTTTCGAAGACATCGCTTTTTAGTAGCTGCTGCAAAGAACGGGACAAAACACACAGCACCAGACCTGCTGTGAGGACGAATGGAAAACTGTCTCTTCAAAGAGGCGACTCGTGATGACTAACGAGTAGCTGTTTCAGAATGGTGTTGTGATAAAAAAAAAAAGATAAGATACTGCATCCCTTTTTGTCAATGTTTTTCCCCTCAGATCTATTTCGTGTAATGTAATTTGTTCCGTCTTATAACACACAAAAACAAAAACATTTTAATTCAGGAACAAAATGATTGCAAAAGGCAAGGCCGTGCAGGAATTGTCTCTAAAGATGCATGATAAGATGGGCTTCGTCAACGGTGGGACTGATCTAGATTTTAAACATGATCTGACCAACTTGTGCCTTTTAACATAACCAAGACAAGTGTTTAATACGATTATCAGGTAATCATCTTTTTTCTGCTGAAAAATGTTGGATCCTGTTGTCTGATGTTATTTCTTATTCTAATTTTTCCCCCCCTCACAGCGTTACTCCTGTACTTGATGCAGTATGATCTCATTAACTTGAGAAAATGTTCTGGTGGGAAAAAAAGATGTCACTGAATCCTTAGAGATAATAAGAGAGAGAAGAGGGAGGGAAAAAAAAGGAAAAGCAGTGTACTTATGCCCTGAGACGTTTTTGCCAATTATCTGGAAGCGATAAATCACTTGAATTGCTGTATTAAGAGGTTGTGACATGCAGCTAACAGATTAATTCCTGGCATCCTTGTATTATGTGATTTAAAATAAATTTTGAGTGGTGGAGGAGGGAGCTGTACAAACTGAACTTTGGTTATCTCTGCAGAGCTCATGTGAAAACGTGGCTTAAAATAATTCCCTCCCTTAAATAAGCTAATGTGTTGGTGTGTTTTTATCAATCCATTCCTCCTTTTAAGCGTTGGCACCATTTCTGTCATGTTGCAAGGACAACATTTCTCCGCATCTTGTCCCCGTACACTGCCAGTTTCATCAAGCTAGACTCCCTTTTCTAGTGGGTGTTTGTGCGTATTCGTGTTTAATATTGGGTTGGAGTTTGATAATAGATTCAACTTTTGAAATAATTCCCAAATTTGGGTTCCCGTAAAGACATGTCCTGACATGAAGAAAATTACTGTGATTTTGTTGCCATATTCAAAAGATCAGGAGCCATCTGTTGGTATTGTATTGGACCTTATACTGTGCTCGACTGTGTGGGAATGACTGGCGTGACTGCACTGGACTTATTCCCCTCTTTGTTGAACCGTTGTGTGTAAAGTCTCGGCACTGGTGAAACTGTTTTTGCTAGAGTAGAATTTCTTGTTTTTTTCCATTGTGATGTTTGACTGTAAATAAACTAACTGTACTTGATATCACATGTTATTCCTAACTGCCCCGTTTTTCAAAGATATATTTTGAGATATTACCTCATCATGTCTGCTTTTACCTGAATTAACCTCTAAACAATGTTCTGCTGTTTTGTGAATTTTCTTTGTAATAAAAATATTTCGTAAGTTATAAAAAAAAATAAGAGAGGTTTTACTTTCCGGTTAGGTTTTGGTTAAATTATTATTATTTTATTTAGGGATAAACACAAAACAACATGAACACAAGCATAAGCTCAGCTGTTATAAAATACAAGTGAATGGAAACAGCACCCTCTACAGGTCAAAAACTTCAACAGTTTAAGTGTTAAAACTACTTGGGCTTGCAGCTAAAACCAATTAGAGAACACAGCACTGAGCTTGGCTCCTGCGTACACCCGAACACTGGTATGCTCTGCAGCTGCTGCTTTTCTGCTCAGACTTCACTGAGTGATTTGACCAGCGCCCGCATTTCTGCATCACAGGCTTTGACAGCTTCCTGAGCATTTCTCAGCTCTGAAGGCAGAGCCGGCCTCACAGACACACACATCAGGACATCTTTACTGCGGTCATAGTTACCCACACACCGATGGACCTGACCTCGGATCAGGCGGGGCAGTACCTGCTCCTGTTGGACCAGAGTCAAAAATGAGTCAGTGCTGTTTCATTTTTGGCAACAGTTTAAACATTTCAAACTGGTTTCAGCACATGTAGAAGCCTTTGTAAAGATTATGTACTTGTATGCACTTTTTTGAAAAAGAAAGTACAACCTCTTTCATTTCTAAGATTTTTATATATCTGATCCGTGTTAGATCCTAAAATCAGATAAATCCAACCCCAGATAAAAAGGAACACTTGACATATTACATTTTTTGATGAAGACTAAGATAAAATGCAGAAGTGGTTTGTGGAAAGTGCACCAATACTGTTTCAAAGGAATTAAGAGTGCAAGTAGCAGCCAGTGCTGATAATCAAATGGATTTGATCAATGGATCATCAGTATGTGAGAGCAGACGTTTTGGCAGTTTGCAGGTTTGTCCATTCAGATGTGTGTTGCCACACGGTGGAGTAATATCAGCAGTGATCTTAGAGAAACAATTGTTGCTGCCCATCAATCTGTGAAGGGTCATAAGGTCATTTCCAGACAGTCCACCATCACATAGTGAGAAAGATTCAGTTAGTATGTTAAATGTTAAAGTTGCAGTAAGTTGCAACTGACCATGAAAGAGGCTTTACTTTCCTTTTCTGTATTATGAACCGTACTGTCCCCGTAAAACTCATTTTACATTCAAGCCACATTTGTTTGAATTTTTTTCCCCGACTCACATTTTCATAAAAGACACACTGCACAACCTCCTTCCCATCTCTCAGGAGGAAGTTCTTTGCTCCGTAGCGACCAACTGTGACCGCAGAGTCTAGAGTAGCTGAGGGGGAAGTGAAGCCTGTCAGATTAATGGTGTTTTTCTTCAAAAAAATAAAAAAAAAACTAGTGAGAGCACAGCTGGGATAACAAATCAGCTCACCGAATATCTCAAATAAATAAGGCACTTTGTCTTTAAACTGACTCCAGTGCCTCATGCCATCAATAACTGCAGTCAGGATCCTCAGTGAGTGCTCGGTGGCTGGTTTCACTGGAAATGCTGCCTGCTCAACACACACAAATGTTGCATGGTTCAGCAAAAGTGCATTAAACATTAATTGAAACTTGTGGCTACCTGTCATAAACATATCATTTTTTTTGTATAAATTTCTACCTGAGTTGGAGTTGTTCTCAGAGTGTTTTGTGGATTTGAGCTCGTTTTAACCTCAAAAGGGGATCTCAGTGGCTCAAAGCTGTTTGTAAATTTCCAGGCGTTCTTCTGTGGCTCCGGAGCATTAGCAGACTGCCTCCTGGGTGGTGGAACTGGAGGAGGAAGAGCTCTAGACTGCTGGGAATACTGATGCGTGAAACTGGGTGTTCCATAAGATGACTTCCGGCCCATCTGAGATAACCCCGTATGGGGCACTGGCTGGCTTTGTCCACTCTCGCTACTGCGAGGGCCTTGATATGTGCTCTTTCTGAAATTGATGACAGAGCTGGAATCCTGCTGTCCCAGTGCGTTGCTGGATTGTCCCATCACTGAGCTGAAATGAAAGCCCAGCATTCAACAAACAGTAGTCCCGTGACATGCTTTAAACTTTTAAAAAGATAACATTTGAATTTCTTTGGCACTAATTTAAGTGCCTATAAAATCACAACTTAAACAAGAACCTTGAAGTGCAATGATAATATCCATGGTTCTGAAAACTTTTCCACATGTCATTATCACAGACCAATTCATCCAGTTAAATACCATGTGGGTATATTTTAGCAGTTTACATACATGAGCTATAAGAAAAGAGAGAAGCTACAGTGTAACCAATGATCAGTTAACGACACCTTTTCTCTTTAGCTTTGTATGGATGAGGTATGGGTCCATAGGCTCTAGTTGAAGGGGCAGGTCCAGGAGCAGGTCTGTTGCTGCCATACTGCTGGGCTGGAGCAGCCTGTGAGTTGCTTTGTCTGTTCCACTGTTGACTTTGAGGGACACCAGAAGAGGAACCTGAGGTCTGGTAACACCCAAAGGCACCTAAAGAAAAGGTCAATTCTCATAGGTAAACTATCACAACAAACAACAGCTTCTGTCTGTAGATGTGAAGGGTTATATAAATGACTTTACAATGCTAACCAATGTTCTAAAAACATGTAAACTCAAGCATACCTAAAAGCATGTTTCATTTTTCTGTGGATACACTGACATCTAGTGTCAGAAATAAAGCAGAAGCTTAGAGAATGAACAGTTCACCTGATGGGTTGTGAGATATGGCTGAGCCGGTGTTTGGTGTGTACTCGCTGTGGGAAAAGAATTCATTCTCAGAGGGAAGAGCTGTCAAAGGAACCCTGTTTCGTTTCTTCTGGTTAAAGAGCGGCACAGAGAGGCAGCCTGGAGAAAACGGCAGAGGAAAGACAAGTGAACGAACCACAGCGAATCATGATGCTTATTGACACCACATACTCACTGACTGTTCATTATTTAACCTATATTACTGTGTACAGATAAACTCCACAGCTTGCCACACTTATCCATACACAAACGCTCTATCACACAACCTGGCTGGAGTCAAAGAAATCAATGACTATGAGGTGGAGATGAATACACTGGTGTGCAGACTGTGAAGTTATTATTATTATTATTATTTTTACCAACCTGATGTAGACCTGGCCGCCTGGTTTTCCTGTCTCTTCATTGTACTTGCTTAGATTGAAGTTTATTTAGCTGGCAGGACTTTTTTAGCAGGGAAAACAAAGGTTAAAAAAAAAAAAAAAAGACCTTACGCTTGGTTTTCTGTGCAGCGCTGGAGGTTAACTAACTTGGAAAGTAGTAAGCTAAGCTAATTTATCTTACTCTGGCTCACTAGCTAATAAGCTAACTGTAATTTATAGACATGTCATACAGTTACTGCCTGAAAGTTCAAAGTGTCGTGCTTTTACAGAACCAAACCGTTTTCTGTGAAGATTTTACATAAATGACCAGGTCTTTGTTGGCGAAAACTTGACAAAGTATTACAAAAAAAAAGGAAGACAACAGACGTGAAAATTCAGCACCTCTGAAAGCGCCAAAACTCTACGGTGACAGGTGATGCCTTCACGGTCTACACGCAATCTTGGACTTTGTAAACACAGCCGGAAATAACGGAAAACACAGCTGGTCAAAAACAATTACCGTGACATCTATATTATTTGTGAGCTATTACCTTTTGTTTGTGATGTTTTTTGATCATCTGCTTTTGGCTGTTCTCTTATACACAAGAGGTCGCCACAGTGGATGGATCCACATATTTCATATCAGATATTTCATTTTACACCGAATGTCATTTCCGATGCAACCCTCCCAGGGGTTTGTATCCCTCCTTAAACCGGGAATATTTCTTGTGTTAAGCACTGTAGCCCTTTTTGATAATATTGTATTCAAAATGATTATACATATATTAGCTGTGGTCAGAATTTTAGATGCAATCAGGAAAGGTCATGAATGTCATGGTAATTTGTGGTTTTTAATCATTTCTTTGAACTGTTCTTTTTCCAGCATCCCTTTTTTTAATGACTTTAAAAATTTTTAAGTTCTAATTTATTTTGGAATTTTTTCTAATACACACTGGGTCAAATGTTTACATACAGGCTTAAATACAAGAATACACCCACCCTGCTATGGGTGAAAGGTTTGATAGTTGTCATCAACCATCTGTCATAATTCTGACTGAATTTTTAACCATAATTCTTGGCAAAATTGGTAGAATTTGTTAAATTAATTAAATTTAAAGTCACTAAAGATGTATGTAGTGCAATAATTCCGCTCTGGAAAAACAGTTCTAAGAAATCATTAAACGTGCAAAACTATTATCACATTCATGAGTGTATCTTCCGACCACAACTGCACGTGACATAATTTTAAAATTCCAGGTTAAAAATAATTCAAATATGAATATGACTGAATCTGGATGTGCAGAACATGACTGCAGTGGAATATAAAGCAAGTCACGACTCAGTGAAGGGAAATAAACATGCAGATTATAACATGATTAGCATTTCACACAAGCGGAGACAGAAACAGTAGGATGTGTGTGTATTTGTGTGATAACAGCAATCTGTTTACCCCTGTCTTCCAGTAGATGGGGGAGTGAGACAAAGAGCAAACTAACAACAGCGGGCTTCCTGTGTTACTTTTTAAACCTACTTCCACACACAGCTGTCATTCATTTCTCTTAGTGTGCTGTTTACCACAGGAAAACATGGATTTCTCATCCTTACCCAAATCCAAAGAACTAGAATGTAAAATTTGCATTATAAGCTTCGCCTCATTTGCTAAAGTCTTTGCCATGGTGAAATGTGGATGCTATCAGTCCTGGTGGTGTTTTAGGAGATGAAAATCAAATGAAAATGAGGATATCTTGGGGTGAGTGCAGAAGAAAAGACGCGAGCAAAGGTTTACAGCAGTGCCATCTCTGCGCTTGGTTTTGTGTAGTGCATGAGGCTCAATGTGCTGTGAGTTCAAAGGCCACCTTTTGATCTTGGCTTCTATGTTTTGACTTTTCTGGCTTTGTGAATCCATAGCAACAGCAGCACTGATGGTCTATTCAGAATGTCTTCCACGTCCTCTTGATCCATTGAGAAACTCTTTGATCAACAGATAATTTGTGAAGCTGAGACTTTATTCCAAGTGAAAAAAAAAAATCCTAATCATTTCAGCAGAGCTGCTGAAATGATTAGGATTTTTTCTGGGATAACATAGAGACAGTGACAGTGCTAATGTTTAAAAGCAATTGGAAATGAAATATTTACTGGGATCTGTTCATACATGTTAACTAGGATAATATAATACTGTTGCTGATGAATTCAGAATCCCACAGTTTATAATGAATAAGGGCAAAAAACCTCTATCTAGTTCCCTATTGTAAAATCCTGTTTCTAAAAGGTTATGGATAAAAAAAACTAAACACCTAGCAACAAATTAAACAAGAAAGAAATACGTTTTTGCCTCTTTATTGAAGAGCTTACAACTAGTCTTTCTGAATAAAAATGGGGATGGTTTATTACCCTGCAAAAGTCCACTGGTCCAAATAGTTAAACAATTTAAGAGTAAAATGGCAAAAGAGATTTCATCAGTAGCAGGAATGTCAAACATAAAGCCAAGGGGACCAGTTTTGGCCCAGCAATGGGTGTGCCATAAATTTTGAGCTTTTAAAACTGAGTTTCAAAAATTTTTACACCTTGTCTAGCTGATAAAGAGCTCCCCCACACAGACCTGTCAGGCACTGAAAACATAAAAATACTAAAAGGGCGGGGGGAAGCAGGCCCCAAAGTGTAAAGAACATGAAATCCTTCATGTAGCAAGAATAAGTTTAGCATTTTGCTTTCAGTACTGCAGCAACTGGACTCTTCTGTTCCCAAATAAAATGTTAAAAGAAGAGGCAATTACAACATAACAAATCCCAGCTTCACTGTAGTCATGTTGATTGCATGCACATTTTTTCTTGACATTTTCCACAGCACCCCAGCTTTTTTTTCTTCGAAACAGCGATCTCACACAGTCCAACCTAATCACTAAACAGCAGACTTATTAACTCGTAGCCTAGTGCAACTGTGGGTCAGTAACCCTGAGATTTTGTCTTGGACATTGTCTGCATGTGGTGTTTATCTGTTTTAGTATGCCAAAGATAAATAGATACAAACATCACAGGCTTTAAAAGGTTGCTGGTCTAAATAATATTTTCGGGGTTAATATGTTTATGCCCTCACTTCCAAACACTTCCTCATCTCTGTGCTGCACAGAGAGCCAGTAACATATCTTGTGTAACGTAGCACCGGGTTTTCGCTCATCTTCTGGAAGTTTCAGCTACTGCGCTATATATTGTTCCTCAGATTCCCCTCACGGGTACACTCATCTGGAAGCTAATTACGGACTTTCTACTTCCCAAACTGGCAACCTGGATGTTGTTGAGGGGGAGGCGCTAGTTCACAGTAGTTTCTGGAAAGGAACCTCATGCTTACACCATGGAGAAAGTGAGTGTCCTGCTACTTATTTAATAATTATGACTTTCTAATTGGCATATGTAAGACATATTTGTGTATTCATTTGAGTTGGTTTAGGCTAACATTTCTTTATAATAATTTGGAGGTCGGAGAGGTTAGTCAGCTCTTTACACTGGCCGTTCACTGTTTGCTAGTTAGCTTGTTAGCTTAGCGTAATCTCTTTAGTAAGGTGCTGTAGTCATTTGGGCTTACCGTTTTCACCCGTCACGGAACATTTTGACGGTACTAAACTGTAGTGTTGCTTAACTTCACTTGAACTTATTGAGAAATTAACTTGAATGTTTATTTGCGCAAGGTTGTGTCTCACTTGTGATAGCACACGACAAGGTTAGCTAACTGTTAAGCTAATGTGCGGCAACTTAATTTGTCACACTTGCTTTTTACGTAAAATTATCCCTGTAAGGTTTGCCTGCCGCTGTTGCCAATGGACAGTGTAGGCTCGGTGTTGTAAACCAGCCTTTTAGCCTTCTGCAAACATGGGCAAAATACAACTTACCAAATCTCAGTCAAACAGCTATCTTTGGCTCACAACGTGAACATTATCAGTATGTCAGGATAAGAAAAAAACAGAGAGCCTTTATTTTATTAAGAAACAAATAAACCAATCCTCTGTAACCCCTTTATAAAACGAAAGCAGACGACTGTTAGCTTAAATTGCAGCAGTCGGTCTGTAAGCACATGCTGCAGGAGTATTTTTGGATTAGCTTCAGCGGTGCCATCGGCAGTCTGCACTCACACCGGAGGATCATTCTAGATGCACACACAGGCGAAGCTGTCATGGCTACAGCCGCATGTTGTCGTCAGCCTCTCGAACGTTCTGCATAACAGCTCAGATATGAATGGATTTAATATCTGAGCTGTTTTATTACTTAAAAACTACTGTTGCGCTCAGACTCGGTAACCTATTTGTCCAGCATAAAATCAATAAGTGTGGTGCACGTTAGAAGTCAAAAGAGGGCACTGCCTAGTTAGAAATGTGCTGATGTTGCGAGGAATTCGTCCATGAGTTTAATTTTTTTTTTTTTTTTTTTTTTACCTTTTTGTGTTTTCTGGATAACGCCAAAATAAGAATTCTTACATTAAGGATTTGACACATTGTGAAAGTAAGACTTGATGCATGCCTCAAGTTTCTTGATCAGCATTCACCATGGTGCAACACATCTACAGGTTTCATTTTCATTTTGGACCGACTTGGTAAAGATTATATGTGAATTCTTACAACTATATGCACATTGTTTACACCCTAATTACTAAAATGACTAGACTGTGATTACTTGATGCTTCACACGATGTATCCAAGTGAAGCTTTTGGTCAACAACTGGACCTTGGTGATATAATCAGCTATCCCTTGCTTATAGCGCCATAATATTTACTGAATATTCACCTTTTTTTTTTTTTTTTTACAAAACCAAACCCTACAGCACTGCAGGGGATTGTGGTGTAGCTATGTTGTTTCAGACTGGATTAGGTCTAATTACTGCTAGGGAGAAAGTTGTGCCACATAACACTTGAAAGTTTTTTACCGTGTTAGTGGACTTTGAGTTTTATCAGACAGTTTTCAAGAGGAGCCAGCAGGGAGTGAGAAAACCTTTTTGGAGCAGCGTGGTGCTCCTTTCTTCTTGGCGTGTTAGATCCAGAGGAGGTGCAGTGCGGTTACTTCATAAACTGTAACAAGCAGCTTTAATTGACAAAGGGTGTACAGTATATTGACAACCTTTTTTTCTTTAGCATTGTCAGTAGGGCTGTGCAATATGACCAAAATCTCATATCCCGATATAAGAATTCTATCATCCCGATAATGATATAAATCACAAAAATGTAACATTTTCTGTAAATTCTGTGAATCTCGAGCAGCTCGACTTGCGGGAAGTGTTTCCAGCTGCACGTCATGTAGCTGGAGTAGAGTGTTTTAACAGATGCATGAAACTATACATTTTTGGACATAAGTTGTAACAGCCGCCGTTTTCTTTGTGAGTATTTATTACACAGTGTGCTGCGGGGAAAAGCCTGTTCTAACGTTTGAGTCTAAGGTTTATTTTTTAGCACCTGGCGGCTCTTTTTTACTTCTCATCCGTAAATAATCTGCTCTTTCACTTGATTCAGTTTATTTTGAAAAGTCTCAACATGATCTTGAGCTTTATTGTGAAAGGTTTATGTGGAACTTGTTGAGTGGACACGCAATGGTGTTACCGTCGTTGTTGCTAACCACAACGCATAAAAACAGGCGCTTGTCCGT